TCCTGCATTTGTTTAGCAACACTTGCCAAGTCCACGCATTTGTTCCTATACTAAATATTATACAGCTTCTTTTACTGTAATATACAGTAGTTCTTTTGTCCTGTTGAATTATTTCATTGTTCACCCAGAAAAGTGATCAATACATTTCCAACAGAAGTTATTTTCTCTTCCTCCATTGTATGGCTCAGTTTCAAGATTGTTTAGCAGACAGCCACTATTAGCATTGCCAGTACCTTAAGAGTCAACAGACAATGACTAAACTAATAATCAAAGTTTTGAGGGTGGCTTGGTGTTAATGGAAACCAAGGTACTCACAAGCATTACCCTTTTAACTAGACCTCCAATATTGCCCCATAAAAGAATGTTAGACGTAGTTCCAATACCACAACTTAGCACTTCATTACCTACCATTTGGATACCACAAGTCACAAACCCACGTGATTTTAAACACTATCACAGTATTCACCCTGAGAATGCAGAGGAAGCATTTAAAAATAAATTCTGATATGTTTTGTCACACGTTCTTCCATTTTCTTTCATCCCCCTTTGGGTACATGGGTTTGAACCTCCTATTTGCTTTTTTGGCCAAATAGTTCATGCCACAGTCAGGTACTGGTGATAGAAAAGGCCAAAAAGGCTTGTGGAGAAAAGGCAAGCAGCAATCCACCACGTCAGAAAAGACAGGAGTCCTCGGAACAGGAGAGGAGTGAAAATGTTCTTTAAGCTGCCCAACGCCATGGTTAGTTGTATTACAGTTACCTTCATCTTCTCATCAGCAGATGAAGACTCAAAATAAACTGAATTGGGGAGTAGATTGTTCTCCATTGGAGAGTCAGAGCTAGATTCTGGATAGATGCACCAGGAGTAATTACCTGTTAAAAGGCAACAAAAATCACTGTTAATGGCAAGCAGATTCCAAAACTAGTTTGCTTGCATTTTGGTCAGTTCTATAAACAGGACAGCAATACTCTTCACATGTAAAAGTTAAAAAATATGAATCTTAACTTGTAAAAAAAAAAAAAAAAGAAGTTAGAGAGTCATATTGCAATATTACATTTAACAAGTGAGATCTTAGGGTATGAATATGTATAGATTTTAGCTGCTTTAAAAGGCGAGAGGAAGCTGCTGGCTGGGAAAGCAGCTATTATAGTTTAATTGTTATATCTGCATGATCCTTTACTGATCATGTTAGCTATATAGCCAGTCAAATTTCCCCATTTAATAATAGGATTTTTAACTCTGACCTTGCACAAAACTATTAAATAGGAACTGTTTTGCCACACTTTCATCATTACAGGATCACAAAGACTTAACAGTCACATTGCAACAACTTGCATCAGTATCTTCTGATAATTGATAATGATGTCTATACCCTTAGTGTAGTAATGCAGCAAGTGATATCTAATCTTTCATCAGGAAGAGCTGACATCATTTCATCCTTCTACCAATACAGAAGGAAACTTGTAACATGTGTTTAAGAAGTCCATGAAATGTTCTTACCAAATTTTACATATGCAAAACAGATTTCCCTAAAATTAGATGCATTCGTTTTAAAATGGTATGTAACTTTTTTAAAAAGATAATCAACAGCATGATCTGTAACATTAAATTGTTTGCCTATTTTAGATCAGATAGGAATTAACAGCTTCCAAAACCACTTCAAGTATAAAATAATAACTGTTTGGCTTAAAACCATTCTACAATGTCAAAAATATAAGATCTTTCTTCATTTCTAGCTACATATGCTGTATTAGTTCTTTTTAATAGATAATAAAAGCTTTATATAATACAGGAAGGGATAAAATTCAGTAAGTTTTTCATACCTAGGGTTTTCAACAGCAGAGTTGTGTGTAGCAGCATTACCAGAGGTGCCACATACTGCAATGCAATTACACAGAGGTAATAAAACACTCGGGCCACCTGAAATCAACAAAATCTTTGAGCAACTTAGCGTGCAAGAATGCTTAAGACAGCTGATATATTATAAATTATTATAGCCAGCATTTAAATACAACTGTCAGTAAAACTAAGCAGCTTAAAGAAACAGGATACTGACGAGGAAGACCACATTCAAAAGTTTTTCACAATTTTTTTAACACGTAATACAAGTTTTAAGAAAAAAGGCTTATTGAAGAATTTCAAATTTAAAACAATTCAAAATTCTTACAGCACTTATTCATTCATCAGTTATTTCCTCATGAATGGAAGCAGTAAAAAAACAAAACAAAACATAGAATATTCACTATACTTTTACAAACAAAATACTACCATTCAGTATTCTACATTTCAATATACTGCATATTAGCTCTGAGCCGACTTTAACAAACATATTCTTAATATTGTTTTTTTAAAGTATTAAAGTTTCTTAGGCTTTGAATCATATCACAGTCAATACAATTCCTGGATCTCCCCATGTGTTTTGCACCATTTGCAGCATGTAAAATGGACAGAGATCATAAACTACAAGATTCAGAGGGATATGGTATGGTGATCTAACAGAAGGACTGAGAAGGACTGTGTAGTGGCACAATGGGAGTTGCATTATGTTGTTTCCTGGATTTGTGCATTTTTTTCCCTCCTGGTATGGTACCTTTCTGGAAAGAACTACATTTCAGGAAAACCTCCCATTTCATGGTTTTAAAATGTAAATTCTGGTGCTGTGGAAGGATAAGGACAGGGGGTCAACAACATGAGTTAACTACGTGTGAATCACTTATTACGTTTGTCATTTTTATTCCATTATATTTACCATTTTCTGCAGATCAACTGTACTTATTCTGCCAGCCTCTTTTTTCATCTGATCCACACACTTCTGCGCTAAATTAAGGTAGGCTTGCAGATGATTGCGCATCATGGCCATTCGTAAAGCACACAATAGGATTATAATCCACAGCCGTAGAGTATCAAATGTAGCTTCTGACATTCTGTGGATAAAGAGTAACAATCTCCAAAGGTCATCCTCTACTTAAGTGTTATGTATTTGTTTATACTACCTATACAGAAATCTTGAAATCTATTGAAGGAAATACTTAACACCCAGTCAATAGTTACACATCTTACAGGTAAACAATATTCAATTACAGGTAAGCAATTTTCTTTCTTCCCACCCCCTCCCTTAGCAGCTATTACTTTCCAATCATGCCATAGCATTAGGCCTCTCATATCCACTTGGCTTCAGGAGAAAAACCTAGAAGCTCTTCAGTAATGAGAATTCAAGCAATCTAGAATACTAAACAAATAATGAAATCTTTCAAATAAATCAAGGCTTAGAACTGTGTAGTGTGTATCCTAAATAGCAACTGGAATAGTCTGTTTTTATCCTGCAGCTCTTCAGCCAGATTAAATGCAAAGCAAGTTAAACAGTGCTTTTCTAATTTTACAGGAAACTCTAAAATGTGTACAATTCAAGAGTCTTAATACTATATTCTCTATTGAGTTTAAGCTCACTATAACTTTTCTGATATATAAAACTCACAGTTTTAAGACAGTTTTCAATTTTAGCATCAGTTGTAACATGAGTTTCAACCAACTGTCATTGTTACACTGATGATTCTGGTTTTAAAAATAAGTTAAAAATACCCAGTTTAAAGTAATAATTGGTCACATGTCCCTGAAATTCTGATTTCACAGCCCATTTTCCTCTCAAAGATGTTTTTAAACACTTTGATAGCTCAGCATTTAAAAAATGTAGCTTCAAGAGCATAACTAGTATAAATCAGGGAACACTAAACCCAATTGATTCTGGTACCTATATATATATATATATATATATATATATATACACACACACACACACACACACACACACACACACTTTTTAAAAGGAACCTTACAAAGGCACACTCTCTTTTCCCAGAGGTGGGGTCATAATATAGTCCTTGGTAATTGGCTTTACCCATAGGAGGACCATAAGAAAAGGTGCCAGGAAGTTTATATGTAGTAACGTTCTGAAACAAAAACAGAAAAAGAAAATACAGTGAATGTATGCAATTATTATAACTGAGACACCTGGATTACTACTACTGAATCTGTAGTATACGTTATTAAAAATAATGTGGAACAATAACTGAGAATGTGGTGAGAACTGGAACATCACTTTCTTTAATATGCTTACTGGGTTTAATAAAATAATTAGCCAGTATAATTTCCTAAAATCTTAACATTAGATTCTGTGATACTCTAATTGGAATAATTTCCTGCTTTAATTTATTCCAATAGATCGCAGCAAATCATACACAGCAGCACAGTAAGAAACAGTTGTTGAATGTGTCTACAATGGTATAATGTAAAGTTGCGTGAGCTGCTGTAAAATTTAATCTAAAAACTCAGATTCTCTGATTGGTAATTATGGAAAACATTGAATTGCATTTGTGAATATTTTTCTATTAAAAAGTATCTAAAATTATGTTATATTATCCATGCAAATTGAGAACGTATTTCTCAGTTTTGGCAAGTCAAATTTCCCCATTTAATAAAAGGATTTTTACCTGGGAATCTTATCTAATTAACATGCAATTAAAGATTCTCCAGTAAAAAAAATCCCAGAACACATTTGAGAAAAAGAGCAGCTACTTCCTTTTAAAGGTATTGGGTTCCTGGGAGATTATACTGAATGGCTGAAGTAAGAGAAGTTAAGCAACTGCAATACAAGAACAATTATATATAAAAAAAAAAAAAAAAGACTTGTGGCCTTTGGAGTTAACACACATTCTTGTTCTTGCCATCAGGCTCATCAGAGAGTCATCTCAAAGGACTGGATTTTGCCCCCATTTAAGTTAATGGAAACACTGTCACACACCTCAATGATACAGTATCATATGTTGACAACAGTGCAATACTGCACGATTGGAAAAGCTCACTTGCTTGTACTTCCACTTGTAAAAAGAAGGCTACAATACTACAGTGGAAAACAATCAGGTAACTAAAAATAACAGAAAAAGGGAAAGGGAAAAGGAAAGGGAGAAAGAAAGTTTAAACTGCTACTAAGACTCTTAAAAGCATTCAAAAGCATTTTCCAGAAGCATGTCATGCAGGCTAAGTAAATCATTGGTTTAAACTGAAGAAAGGGGAAAAAAGCAGTGCAGGGTATGCAGTGTTGCTATGTAACTAACACTACAGAATCAAAGAGCAGGTCAAAGTAGTTTACTAACTTGTGAAAAAGGCTTTTACCTGCTTTCTGCTTATTTAAGTTGCACTAGTGGGTTAGTGAACTGGTATATGCAAAAGGATGGCAAAAATCCATTTTTATTCATTCAAGCAGTGGGAGAAAGGCTGAAAAGAAATTAGTGAAATGCATGGGGAAAGGGAAGGAAGGGACTAAGAGAAGTATTCCCAAATCCACAAAGTAGTAGAGAGGAGAGTGATGCTTCTGCAAGAAAGCCAAAAAGGCCTATCAAAATGACGAGTAACAATGAACAATGGATTTTATTTTATATAAAACATGTTTCTTGTCTGTACATCCAAGGATCATATTAGCCTTTTTGGCTATAGCATTGCAGTGGGAACTCTAGTTCAGGTCATCATCTACCATAACCCAAGTCTTTTCAGAACCCTTTCCAGGTCAGAGGTCCCCCATCCTGTACATATGGCTTCTGCTCCTTGATCCTAGATGTCTGACCTTGTATATTAGGCAGAAAAGAGACACACTTGCCTCCAACTTAAACAGCTATCTAGGTCACTTTGTCAGTGACCTGATATCTTCAGAAAAGATACTGTCCCTCCAATGCCTGTTCCTTTGCAAACTATCAGAAATTATTTCTCTCTGTCAAATTTAGAAAAAAAAGTTAAATAGTAAAGGACCAAGAACTGATCCCTGCAGAACTCGCTGAGCAGTGACTCCTTGTTCCTAGTTACAGAGACCCATCATTTAACCGGGTTTAATTATTCAAAGTGTTATGTTTTTATATTGTTCTAGTTCATTTTGTGTAGTCCTATGTTAAAAACCCTAAAGAAATCTAGTACAACATACAAGCTGACTTTGACAAGCTCAGGAGGCTTGTTGGTGAGACCCTAAGGGACCACGACCCCAAGGGGAGGGGAGTTCAGGAAGAGTAGTTGCTGCTCAAGGGAGCAATACTCGATGCACAAGCCCAGGCTATTCCATCTCGGAGGAAAGGCAGCAAAAGGGCACAGCAGCCCCCTTGGCTCTCCAGGGAACTAGCGGACCTCCTGCAGCTAAAAAGGCAGGCCTACAAAGGATGGGGGACGCGATCCACCTTCAAGGAGGAATTTTCCGCACTAGTCCGGTCCTGCAGGGAGCAAACCAGGAAAGCCAAGGCTGCAATGGAACTCCAACTACAAGTTACTACAAGTATCAAGGACAATAAAAAGTCCTTTTTCAGATATGTGGGGAGCCGGAGGAAAAGCAAGGGCAACATTGGACCCCTGCTAAACCACATGGGACTACTGACAACCAACACCCAGGAAAAAGCTAATGGGTACTTTGCATCAGTCTTTCATCAGTCCCACGGGACGCCCATGCCCATTACGGGACAGGGATGCCTGGGTGAGGAAGATTCCCTGCCCTCCATCAATGCTGACCTCATGAAGGAACTCCTTGAGAGGCTGGACACCTTCAAGTCAGCCAGCCCTGACACCCCAGGGTACTCAAGGAGCTGGCTAGCATCACAGCCCAGCCTCTGGCACGGACCTTTGAGGACTCCTGGTGCTCTGGTGAAGTGCCCGAAGATTGGAAGAAGGCCAATGTGGTGCTTATCATCAAGAAGGGGAGGAAAGTGGATCTGGCAAACTACTGGCCCATCAGCCTGACCTCTATCCTGGGCAAGGTCTTGGAAAAGATTATCAAAGAGGCCATCCTTAACAGACTAGCTGACAGCAATATCCTGAGGGATACCCAGCATGGGTTTGTTGCGAGTAGGTCTTGCTTGACCAATCTCATTTCCTTCTATGACCAGGCAACCTATCACCTGGACAAGGGAGAGGAGATTGATGTCATATATCTTGACTTCAAAAAAGTCTTCCATTTGGTATCCCATGATCACCTCTTGGCAAAACTGGCCAAGTGCAGCCTCCGGTCCACCACAATCCGCTGGCTGGGGAATTGGCTCTGGAATCGGCTCTGGAATTGGCTGGGGAATCGGTCAGGCCCAGAGGGTGGTGGTTGATGGAAGTCAATTGTCATGGTGCCCTGTGACCAGTGGGGTCCCCCAAGGCTCTGTCCTTGGACCTATATTGTTCAACTTCTTCATTAATGATGTGGACATTGGAGTCAGAAGCGGACTGGCCAAGTTTGCTGATGATACCAAACTCTGGGGTAAAGCATCCACACCTGAGGACAGGAGGGAGATCCAGGCTGACCTTGACAGGCTCAGTAAATGGGCGGATGAGAACCTGATGGTGTTTAACGCCAAAAAAATGCAAGGTTCTCCACCTTGGGAGGAAAAGTCTGCAGCATCCTTATAGGCTCAGCAATGCTATGTTGGCTAGCACTATGGATGAAAGGGACTTGGGGGTCATGACTGACCACATGAACATGAGCTTTCAATGTGATGCTGTGGCTAGTAAAGCGAGCAAAACCATAGCTTGCATCCATAGATGCTTCTCAAGCAAATTCCAGGACATTCTCCCATTGTATTTGGCCTTGGTGAGGCCACAGCTGGAGTACTGCATCCAGTTCCGGGCTCTACAATTCAAAAAGGATGTGAAGAAGCTTGAGAGAGTCCAGAGAAGAGCCACGCGCACTATCAGAGGTCAGGAAAACAGACCTTACGACAACAGGCTGAGAGCTATGGGGCTCTTTAGCCTGGAAAAGCGCAGGCTTGGGGGCGATCTGATGGCCACCTATAAGTTTATCAGGGGTGTTCACCAGGATCTGGGGGAATGTTTGCTCACCAGAGAGCACCAAGGGATGACAAGGTCGAACGGTTATAAACTACTGCAAGACCGTTTCAGGCTGGACGTAAGGAAGAATTGTTTATTGTCCAAGCCCCCAAGGTCTGGAATAGCCTGCCATCGGAAGTGGTTCAAGCACCCACATTGAACGCCTTCAAGAGAAATTTGAATGCTTATCTTGCTGGGATCCTATGACCCCAACTGACTTCCTGCCCCTCGGGCAGGGGGCTGGACTCAATCTTCTGAGATTCCCTTCCACCCCTAATGTCTATGAAAGTCTATGAAAACTAGTACATCAAGACTAACTATATCAACCCAGGTTGTAATCACATTAAAAAAAAAAAAATCAAGATAGACAAGACTTTCTGTTCATAAACCCATGCGGACTGGCATTAATTACCCTGCTTTAATTCTTGTATCAGCTTGTATCCTGTATCAGCTATTTCATTATTCCATCTTGGATCAATGTCATGTTGAAAGCCTAAACCTACCTGGACTGTCCTGTTGACCCTTTTTAAAATACTGACACATCTTGGTCTCCTTGTCTTTTATAAATTTCCTCAGTGTTCTAAGGCTTATTGAAAATAAGCATTAAGGGCCAGAAACACATCAGCTAAATGTTGTTTTTTTGTTTTTAAACTCCTAGACACAAATTACCTACACCTGCTGATTTAAAATGTCTAACTACAGGAGCAGTTGCTTGGCCTCTTCAGTTACTATCAGAAAGTAAAGGCTCTCTTCTCCCACCCAAACAAAGAACAGAAATATGTATTGAACACTTCTGAATTTTACGGACAATTCTACTATGGTCTAAATTAAATTAATAGAATATTTAGGATTCTTCTATTTCTTGAAATACTTGAAACTTTTTTTAAAAAATAGTCTTCCTCTGATATTAAAGTGGGAATACAGAATAGAGAAAGAGGATTATTACATTTGTGTTGGTCAGTGGTGCTCCTGCTACTGTACTACTGTGTACAGTGCTGGTATCTATGCCTCAATAAAGATGTTGAAAAAAATAGAAGGGATTCATAGAAGATCCATGAAAAAAATGAGATTTGAAAAACACCTGACAGTGAAGGATTCAAGGACAGCTATTCATTTAAACCAAAGAGAAGGTTAAGGAACAACTTGAGCACAGTCTCTAAGCTGAACAGACAGCGAGACTGAAGAGTTGACTGTTACACCAAGGTAAAAGAAAAAAAAAATCTGGAAGAGGAACCCACACAATTTCAGACCGGAAGTGGTACAAATCTGCAACACTAAGGGCAATTAATTACTAGAACAAATTACCAATTATTGTATAGATTCACCCAAACCCAAATACCCAATCCACCCACTGTATGGATTCAGAAAATACTTGGTCTTTATATTTTAAGTGATATGCTTTAGTTCAAGCACAGCTACTAGACTTAAAGCAGAATTAATACAGGGAAGTTTTATAGCCTATGTTATGTGGAAGATTCAATATGATAACACCAGTTCTTTCTGGACTTATTTATGAAGTCTAAGAATGCTATCAGGATGAGCATTATTAAATATTAGGATATTATGCTCCAGAAAATTGGTGGGGATTAAGCTATCAGAGAATCCCAAAGAAAGAACAAGTTAAATGCAGCAAATAGAACATTTAAATGTCCACCTGTAACAAAAAAGCTGAACTTGCTTATGTAGCTGTAGACCAATGTCAGCTCCACCTCCCCAATTAAGTAACTTCGACTGTACAAGTCACTGAAACAGCATTTGCTATTTTATCATTTTTAAAGATGTTAGTATATTCCATTAATGCAACTGAACTCTCTTTCTACCTGTTACTCTAATTTTAATGTTTTAACATGATGTAAAGTAAAATTGCTAAGTTTCAATCTGAAGTTTTAGAAAGACTAGATTTCAGGTTTGATTGGCTTTTTTGCCCTCCTTTAATGTTTTCTCAAAGCCCTCATCTCTAATCTGCTCTGTGCCTCCCCCACAACGCGCACACACTTTCTTTCCCTGGCTTCTACTGAATCATGTTAGCAATGAGGGTTCAATGCCCATCGAAGAGTCAGCAGCCACATCCTTCCTTCCATACCATCCACTTACTACAAAGTTGTGCTGAGAACCTGTAGAATTCTCAACATAAGAGCCCCTCTATATGTGCAGGTAAAGGCACAGTGGGAATTAACGTGCAAGCCACACAATTGCGACTCCTGTCATAGCACATGTGCATGGCAGGAGGTGTGATTATGGGATTGCACATTAGATCCCATCACACCTTACTGCCAGCGCAGGGAGAGCCCAGGAGCAAGCTCCTGCAACTGGGAACCCCCTCAGTTGTGGGATTTCCAGCCCTGGCTCGGCATGGTGCATCCCTGCAGCCAGGAGGCCTATGAGCTGACAGGGCTCCCAGCTCCAGGGGATATCTTTCTATATATGCAAATTAAAGTTTAATAGTAACCAGACAGAAAGTTAGACCTCAAAAATGTGTACTAACTTTATAGCTGGTTGGAGCTTTTTATGGCACTCTAGGTAGTTTGCATGTGTAGCTGGTCTCAAGGTTAAGTATGTGATAAATGCAACATGTAGAGGGGGCCCTAGAATGCAGGCAGGCATACTCCTTTAATTGTAGGCATACTCCTTTAATTGGTTCTGATCATGTGAGGGATATAATAGATTAGCAGGAGACAGCTTGAGCAAGTAGGTGTGGTTAGAGGCAAAGGGAGCTGGCATTTTGCTGTAACTTGAATAAGGAGGTGGGAAGTGAAAGAGAAGGCCCTAGTGAGCCATTACTTTGATTATAATGAATTGTTTACTTATTTGTGTACTAAACCAAGCATATTTAAACACTGGGTACATCTATGTTTCTCTTACTGTGTTATTTTTTCTGATGCTAAATTCAGAGCATCCAGATGCATTTGAGCCAGGCGCAAGCCAGGGAATGTCAAAAAAGCACCAATAAGTGAACACAGAACAGCCAGGAACAATTTGAAGGTTAGTTTAGACACAGGACCCCTAAAAGAAAAGAAAAGAAACAATCATTGTGTAGAATATTTACAGAAGCTGTGCTCAACTCTCCACATCTCATCCATTAACCAAAACAAATGCCCCCAACCCCACAAAACAAACAGCATTCAGGTGTTCAAGAGCAGTTTTTCTTCAACTTGCAAGAATACTAAGCACTAAGCCTAGAATGACTAGCAATACTACAGATTCATCAACTCCAAATGAAAACTAGAAAATCCCCCTGGCTATGCACATTAAAAAAAAAAAGTCAGAAAACACTTGTGCACTGAAAAGCAGGAACAGTTTTCTAGGAAACATTAAGTTTGCAACTTAAATAACTTGAGACAGTTAAACATTTAAAAAAGGAAAAGAATGCTGAATGTTCAGGACATCCAGAGAAGTCCAAGAATATAAATAACTAGCAGAAAAGTTCAACAAGTATATCAATAGAGGGAAAGATACTGTAAAGAATCTCTGACAAAGAAAGGTAAAATACATTACCTCTATTTTATATTATATTATTTTACTTGTATTCAACCTTTATGTACTAGGTAGCACTCAAAATATCTAACTGTTGTTGATCTATTTATACATAATCAATGTAAAATATGACAAGTCTAATTAGCATGTCTCATTAAGATGACTACTCATATTTTTGTATTACTGAATGATGCAATGTAAAATGGACATTTTAAATAAACAAAAAGTATAAAAGTTCAAAGGCTTGATTTAACTTCAGAAATATGCAAGCAGCAAAGCATTTAATACAGTTTACTACTGATGTAGGACAACAAAGAAGTCATGTGGGAGTTTCAATCGACACATTCATGATCCATTTCACTGCAACTTCCATATAATGCCATGACCATGCAATCGTTACCTGTAAGCTGCCAAAGCACTGCAGTGAAATTCAAAAGTAAATGAGGACACAGCCACTAACTAGAAAACTAAGCATTTGCAAAGGAAGCTGAGAATAATTTAAGAATGGACTGAAGGATAAAAAAAATGCAGAGTTCAGGAGAAGTTAAAGAACTCAGAACCCAGAATCCTAAACAGACTTACAGGTATAAAAAGAGTTCCCTTCAGACATCTCTCCACAAACAATATATATTTGCTTTTAAGAATTTCTGCACGCCCACACCATGTAATCATGTAATAGAGCACATGCATGAATGTATATTAAGGCACAAATTATAATAAAACATTCATTTTTTAGAACAATTTATAAATAGCAAACCTATAAACAAGAGAATCACGTGTGAAATAAGCCTTCCTTCATTATCCTATATACAATCAATTTACCTCAGTGCAAATTATATCTGCATAGCAGGATAACAGCCTGAAGATGTAAGAGTGAAAACTGACTTTTAAATCCCAACTGTGCCACAGGCTCCACCTGACAAAACAGTTCACCCTCTTTACCTCTGTTCCCCTACCTGGGCAATAAGGACAATATTTATGCCCAGAGGGATATTATTCTTTAAGCAACATTTTTAAAGCATTATAAAAATGAATTGTTTGTGTAAGAACTATAAAGAGAGAGAAAGATGCCTGTAATTTTGAAATGTAACAGACAGCAAATTATATGGGCAGTTGTTCTTAATATTAAAAGGAAAACATTAAGACATTTCAGACAATCTGAAAGTACAGCTGAAGTATTCTAATTAATCCAGCCCTTTCATAGTAATAAATCACAATACAAGATCTAAGTGCAGAAGAATTAAAAGCTCACTACCAAAAAAAAGCGGATTGATAATTGTTATTATTGAATATAATGCAGACTGATTTTTTTTCAATTTTTTATTTTTTTTATTTATTTTTTTTAGAAACTTACTGGGATTCCAAACCTTGCTTTTCAAGAAACTGCATAGCACTTTCTGAAAAATTTGAAAACCCTGCAGAGAGAGACATTTTTATTATATATTTTACCATGGTACAAACATGCAATATCTCTTTTGAAACAAAATGTTAGAAAACAGAACATCTTTTAAACACATTTTCTTACATCTAGCTTAGCTCTTTCATGTGCTAATTAGTATGCCACAATGCAATACAACTCTGCTATTAACAGAAGCAGGCTTTGAAAACATCTGTTTGATATTTGTACATTTCATGAATGTGAATAAAATTTACATTAATCTTTAAGAACATAAGTAATTTTCAAACAGAGGAGTTTCACTTAACTGTGTAAGGCAAAATGGGTTAAAATAAAATGTTACGCAAATATAATTAACCAAACAACCAACCACACAGAAAATGACACCATTTACAGAAAAACAAGGGAATTACACAAGATGCACCTTAGAATCTGAAATCTAAAGCAGGACTTATTAATACAGCTTGTTTTAATACAGTACAGGTGGTCTGAGAGAGATTCGAGGAGATTAACATTAACTTTTAAGGTCATGTAATCAAGAGAATTCATGTAAAGTTGTTACCTGTCTCAAGTCCAAACTCCAGGTAATTTTCTGTTACAATGAGGATTGCCATAGCTTTAACAAAGAAAAAGAAGCCAAAGGTGACACAGACTGATCTTTCACCTCCATCCTCCACTTTGAAATAGTGAGTAGTCAATGAGAACAGTATCTTGCTACGTGAGGAAAAAAGTCAAGGAAAATAAAATTTTACTCATGTTGGCAATTACATTTTAAAAATAGATTCTGATCATCTGCACTGTAACATTCTTCTAGACACAAAACCTGCAAATAATGTGATACTTACTACACTAATTTCAGAGACAATTATGCTTTAGAATATCATGGAAGTTCAATATGCAACTGCTACTTAGGGACATGATGGGGCACTGGAAAAATGTCATTCTAGAAAATGGTTTTGTTGTGTCCTTTTTATAGGCATTAATAGCTATTAAACCAACAATATTCAGTATCTACTTCCATAATTTAACACAATGCTGCTCTACTCTAAAGCAGGTACAAACAAGCCAGAATTCTAGGAAAATTGAAAGTGTAAGAGAGAACATAGGTTTAAGAAACTAAATACATAATATATATTTCAAGATTCACGACATTTGAATCTGATTTTCAAAACAGCCACATGTAATCTATTCAGATTTTCAAAATAGCCTATAAATAAAATAAAAGCAAAGGAACATAATACTGAGCAGAGACGCACGCACACAGACAGAATCTCTCTCATTTCTGTACTAGAGATTCTTAACTACGAAAAAATATTAAATTGAAGGTCAAACCCCAATACCACCAAAATAAGTGATAGCTTCTAACCAACTTCATTCAAATTCAGATTTGAGATGTGAAGGTTTTCTTTTTCCTCTGCTTGTTTTCCATCGGGGGGGGGAAGGAATCAGGATGCCAGTTTTGTTTTTCTTCCTGGAAAGGTCTTGCATGGACTGTTACTTAAAAAGAAGCTGAAATTTAGAAAAAATCATTGAGAGTTGGAGTAGAAAATTCCTGTCTCAGGTTTCCCTTTCTGGGTACTTTCTGCTGCTTTCAATAATTTTATTTTGCTCATTACATAAAAAAACGGAAATGACATAAAAATAATGGTCCTTCTACACCTGTCTACAGAAGAAAACCAAGGTAAGTAAGAGGAATTTATCAAAAAATCCTTGACAAGATCCCTAACCAAAGGTTCCTAAAAAAGTTTAACTGTCCTGGGATCTGAGGGAAGGCCCTTTTATGGACTGAAATCTGGTTAAAGGACAACAAAACGAAGGGTAGGACCAAGTGATTGGTTTTCAGCCTGAAAGAAGGTATATACTGGGGAGGGCTCAGGGCAAAGGAAGTAGAAAGCATAATGGCAAAATTTGCAAACAATACAAAATTATTCTTCTTTAGTCCAAAGCGAAGGTGAAAAGTTGCAGGAAGATGTCATAAAACTGAATGGGCAGGCAAAAAAAATTTTTAACAGTCAATGCAAAGTAATGCACATGGGAAAAATAATCCTAACTACACATAACACAACTGGCTCTGAATTAACTGTTACCACTCATAAAAGATATCTTGAAGTAATTGTGGAGAATGCTCTTTACACAGGCCTGATATTCAGCAGCAGTGAAAAGTGACGTAAAATGTTCACTAGGAAAAGAATTGAAAAAAGAACTGAAAATATCATTTGCCACTATATCAATCATAGTGAGTCCACACCTTGACTACTGTGTGAAGTTCTGGTCACCCTATCTCCAAAAAGCAATAGAACAGAACTAGCAAAATAGAGAAGGGCAAAAATGATCATGGGTATGGAATGGCTTCTGTCAGACTAAAAAGGATTGGATTCTTTAGCTTAGAAGATGGACAACTGAAGGGAATATGATAGAACTCCATAAAATTGAGAATGGTGTGAAAAATAAATAGGGAACAATTTTTGTTGTGTCTCAAAATGCAAGCAGCTGAAAAAACCCAATGAAATCATCAGGCAACAATTTTAGAAAAACAAAAGGAAATGTTTTTACTGAATGTATAATTAACATGCGAGACACTAGCTATTGCAGAAGTCAAGTTTAACCAGAATCAAAACAGGATTAAACAAGCTTATATACAGGTTTCCCTTGCTTTATGTGGGTTCAGGGGCAGTGCTAGGAGGGTGTTGGTGTGGGGGGGTAGGAGGGCGAGGGCTACCATATGTCTGGGTTTTCCCTGGACACATCCTCTTTTTGGCCCCTGTCCTTGCATCCGGGCAGGTTTTTAAAATCAGAGCAAATGTCTGGGTTTTTGCTCTTCCTCTGCTCTCCTGGGCTAGCTGCTTGGGGCTGGAAGCAGTGGGCAAGGTGACTGGCTGTTGGAAGGCACGTGCTCCCCACGCAGGCCCCAGCAAACTTCCAGCTATTCATGTCAAGAGACACTTCATGTGTGCGTGCAACAAAGGAGCTGCTTGGGCAGCAGGGCTGGGGGTGCAGGGGGCTGCGGGTTAGGCGCGACGGGCACCAGCAGGGCTGGGGAGGGCAGGGGGCTGTGGGTTGGGAGTCTGGGGGAGGGGCTGGCAGGGCTGGAAGGGCAGGGTCTTAGGAGTGAGGGTTACAGGCAGGGCATGGGCACATCACTGCCCCCCCCCCCCCATCATATGCCCCTCCCCTCACAGGTGTCCTTTTTTGATATTGGAAATATGGTAACCCTACTATGGCAAATGTTGAGGTGGCTGTACCATGCCTGTCCCCCCAACCCCCCATAGACCCTGCTAACCCCCATGCCTCTGATCCTCCCTGAAGCCTGCTTGCTCCCCCATCCCGAATTACTTCAGACCAGGTAGTCATTTTTAGTTTGATTTAACTTCCCCAAATGTCTGTACATACCCTACATACCCTATTTCTAATACTCTCTCTCTAAAGCATCTGCCAGTTTTCACTGTTGATGGCAAACACCGAACTGGATGGACCTTTGGTCTGACTCAGTATATGCCAATTATGTTCTTATGTTTTGGCGACTTAAAAGTGCTGTGCAACATGACAGTATAGTATTAGAGTAACAAGAGACTATTTTGAGCATAAGATAGTGTTTTGTAGCTCTTGGCACTTATTACTATGCTGTTACCATGTGTTTGAGAGTTTAGTATAGAGCTTATCAGCAAACTTACAGCAAATTCAGTAGCAGCTAGACAAGAAAATATTTTTCAAAAGGGAATAGGTATAGACTCCAGGTATTATACCTGAGGACAAAGTCCTTTCATATGAGTGTCACAAATAAGAACATAGGTTTCCTGATCTTTTATCAAGCAGTTTTTAAAAGTTCCTTGAACATTCCTTTTTAATGCACTTCTAAACTTAATTAGGTCTGTAACCATACAGTAAATTAAGATAGATTTTTCCTAGTATACTTTTAGCCCTACTACAGCCTTAGCTGCAGTCCATTATAATTGAATTTATTTTTCAAATGCAAGAGATAAAGTCCATGTTCAAATAAAATACTTGTGCCAATGTTTCCAGATATTATCCTTTAGAGAGAAAGAGGAAAAAGGAGAAATAAGTGTAAGCCACAGCAGTTTTTCCATTGCAAAACCCCACAATCATTACTTTAACAAGGGAGGGGGGGGGGGGGGGGGGAGGAGAGAATTAAGATGCAGGTTGCATGAAGAGCTCATTTTAGAGTACTCATTTCAGTAAAATGTTTTGAATCTGTAGAAGATGGCACACATGCTATGGGGTTAACATGCATACTTTAGTTATGAACAATGTTATGTTTAGTTATGAACAATGAGTGTGTTACTGTATTTCATTAAGCAACAAGTGCATCTCAATGCATACTTTACTATACTTTATCATATATGACTAAGTGGCATATCAGCATGTGGTTTTTCAAAAATGATCTTAAACTATTTGATGAAAACTCCTGCATTTGTTATAAATTCCTTCAATGGGCAGGAGTACTGCACACAAAATTTAAATTCTTGATATATCATATGCAAAAGTTACATCCATTAGGGTATAACACTTAGCAGCCACAGTGCTATCAAAAGTTTTTAAAATACTTGACACAAGTATGAATTTCTACTTGACAGATGGGAAGAGACATAGGCCGTGTACAGGTGTTACATTTCTGCTTTTCCAGTAGAAACAATGAACATACAAATGCTCATATAGCTCCTCCCAGAGCAAAAATGGAAGTTCTGGGAGACAAATAAGTCATCTTCAACATAGTAGAGGTCACTTCCAGTGCTGCTGGAAGAATGAATGCCTGTACATTTACTCTTGCAGAAGAAACTGCAGCACTGTCCTCCGGTATCCCAACATGCACTGATCCTTGCTCCCCACAGCTCAAGGGAAACAACTAGCAACTCAGGCTGGACTCTACTACTCCAGCCGAGCATGGAGCAAATCATTCCTCCTAGCAGCTAATACTGTGCTCCAGAGCTGCAGACACAGGGTGCCAACACAGCTGAATGCCCTGCACATCACTCTGAGCAGGTATGGGAACCCAACTAGACCCTGATGCAGACCCAGCCCAGACTCAGATCCCCAGTGAGACAACACCCAGACCCCAGTCACACCCATACCTACAGCCAATCCAGTAACTCAATACAGAGAGAGGTCAGGGACCTCCTTGCGCTCTAGGACCATAAACAGAATCAGGAGAAGCTCCATAAGAGCCAGCAGAACAAAAAGGTATACCCGTGGATCACCATGAAGATGAACATGCAGGGTCACAACTAGGAACTAGACAGGACAAGATAAAATGGATAGGCATCTGCTACAAGGTCTATGACAGCAACTGGGACCTTCAGAGGGACCAGGCACTACAGGCAGCTCAAAAATGAGGGGGAAGGGCACAGGGTGGGCAGGCCAGTCCTGTCTCTTGTTCTTCAAACAATGCAAGCACATGTAGGACAGTGCTTGGGGCATGATCAGAAGGCAAAGTTGCTTCACCTGGTCTTCAGCAAGCTAAGTTTGCATTGATTGTGGCTGTGATCATCTCCATGTCTTACAGAGTGAGCTTATCATGCTGCATAATGAGGTAGCTTTCCAGCTTTATCCACATAATGAACAGGATTCCTGGCAGCACCATCATAGTGGGTCACTCTTCCACTAATCTCACAGTGGGATTAGTCCTTGCAGAACTATATCCTAAGGAAACAGAATTCTCCCTCACCCAACCCAAGCTCTAACCTGGGGTGGAGATTTTG